AAAAAAAAAGATTTATAGCCTGGAAAACCGCAGTATGGTCTATTAGGACTACAGATCCCTCTCTTTCCTATCCCAGAATGGCTACTGAGAGAATCCAATAATGGAAACAGTAGTTGTGCTTTTTCTCTCTGTGAAACTACCCTACCCCCATTTTCACAGACCACTGAGACCCCAGACCACTTTCCTATCTTGAAGGAAGCATCTGTAAGCATCCCCTTCCCCAGTTCCCACGTAAGAAAGTATAAAACCCCCTCTAACTCTTAGTGGGGGTTGTTCTTCTGCTCAGGAACCAGCCTGGCAGTTTCTCCTTAATAAACTATCTTTCTTTGCCTGCACTGGGTTCTGTCCTTCCTTAGTGACCTTACATGGTCATTATGAATGGGAATAGGCTAGATGATAGTCAAGAGAGAAAGCCACAGAGGAGTCTTTGTGGTATTATGGTTAAACACTAGGCTGCTAACTTAAAGGTTATTGGCTGGAACCAATTTGTAAGACACACAAGTAGCAGTCTCCTTTTCATAAAGATTAAAACCTCGAAAACCTTATGGAACAGTTCTACATCGAGCTTGGTTTGGATTTGAAATAAATGCTGAATGCATTTCCATATCTTGTCTAATTTCATACCCAATCCTTAAAAGACCCAGAGAGGTAAAGGACAAACACAAAGTATTACAGTTAATGTCAGAATTGGGATTTGAGCACTAATTTGGACACTGGAGAATCTTCTAAGGATCCCATGGTGGACACAATGTCTTCTAAGGATCCCATGGTGGACACAATGGATTATGCTTGCTCTTTCATACCTATGGTTCCATGGCTCTACCAAAATCATCCATGCTCAATGCCATTTAATAGTTTATACACTTGTTTAGTTGCATAGAAGCAGCTTCTTTGTCACACATCCTTACTTGGCATATTCACCAGAGAGTGAAGGCAGTAAATGTGCTCTTTCTCCATTATCGCTCATCGTCAATGGTTTGACAGTGAGGAAGAAGTGTTTCCTATGCAATGAATCTCAAAAATGCCAAGTTACAGATAATCTACATTCTTTCAATTGTTAGGTGCTGTCCAGTGTTGTTATTTTATTGTTGGGTGCTGTTGAGTATGACTCATATGACTAAGAGCAGCTCTTTCAAAAGATCAAAGAAACCTTACCCTAACCTATGGCATCCTCGAGATGGAACTGATGTTGGCCATGTTGAAGCCACTGTGTCTGTGTTAATTCATCTCACCAAATCAAAATAATTCTTTGTAGCGTGTCTTTCCAAGCGGTTTGTAATGATATAAGAAAAAATAACACATAAGTGGAGGAAAATATGCCTTCCCACTAAGTTCAGGATGGGGTCAATGAATGGTGCACATGCATTCCTTATACATACACATTTTCAGTACCCTAATCCTTGATGCTGGGGAGAGTAAAAGGGGGGGAAGTATCTTTGTCCACAAATACTTAAATGTAAACAAAAGCTGGTCTGTTTATGCCATCCTTTACCATCTATTTGACAGCCTTGTTCTCTAGGTTTCTGCTACATTCACAAACACCCTGAACCATTTCCGGAGAAGTAGCCATCTTGCAGATTCAAGGAGTTAGGAGCTGTGGCGGACCTTCGTACTGAATCTCATCCTTTGCCCAAATCTATGCGGAACGAGTCCGGATAGGAAGCGCGCTGTGGTTGGTCTCCGTAATTTAGCAGCAACCTAGTGTCGGTGGGACCGGAAGAGGGAAGGCTGGGATCCCCAGGTGGGGGTCAAGGGTGTGCAGAAATCCTTAGTGGAGACCGGGCCCCACGGGACTTTATCATTGGAGACAGGTACAGAGATAGTTCCACTTTTCCTCGCCTCTGCAGTCCTGGACTAAAGCATGGTGAAAGTGCAACTCCTTCCTCAGGTGTTCAGCCTGCGCCTGCTTTCCCACTTGGGGAATGTGAGGTCGCCGTCTTTCTTGTCAAGTACTACTTCCATACTAAATCACACTCGGCCTTCAGGGGTCTATGTAAAGTCCATGTCAATACATTTAAATCCACGGACACGCATCGCTTCTACAGGCGCCCTAAGCTCGTTTGCGTCCCAGCTGCGTAGGGCTGATAACCCAGCACCCGGCTCTCTCCGCCCCAGATCCCTACTCGGTCCTAGCCAAACCCTGGAGTGCTGGATTCCAGCCGGGAAAAACGGGAAGGCGAGGGGGAGCGGCGGCGCCTGCCTGGAGTCCATCGCACCGGGCATGCTCAGTGGCGCGGCCGGCTGGGTGGCCCCGCAAGTAGCACCCGGATCTGCTCGGCGGCGGCGGCGGCGGCGGCGACGTGAGCGCGCAGGGGGGCGGCGGCCTCGCCTCGTCTATCTGCGCCTGGGTCGGGTGGGAGACGCCGAGCGCCAGCGAGATGTCGGATTTCGACAGTAACCCCTTTGCGGACCCGGATCTCAACAACCCTTTCAAGGTGAGCGTGATTCTCTCGCATCTCCCGCCGCTGCGACGCGACGTTGTTTGTGAAAACAGACAAGTTCCTCCGCGGCTGCCGCTGTGTCTGCCTTTCAGCTCCGCTCCGGAGTCCAGAAGGGGGCTCGCGACCGCCGCACCCAGTTTGTGGGTCGCGCGCCCTGGTCACCGCGTCACTGGTTTAAGGGGTCAGGATGGAATCTGCTCGGCTCCCTCTGTCTCGCTCCCTCTGTCTCGCTGCCCGTTCTCCGCGTGCTCGGCGGTGGAGTGTCTGAACCCCCCGCCCCCTCCGGCTGGGGTCCCGGCAGGCCTCGCCCGCCACCCGGGAACCGTGAGAGTGGGAGCCCCGGGCAGGTGGAGTCGTCACCTGCTGGGCGAGTGGGGCTGGCCCGGCCGGGCGGGGCCGGGAGCTGCGAGGGGGAGCCCTGCCCGGGCGGGGTTGTCATGGGGACCTGAGGTGGCGGCGGTAGAGAGTTGCGTGGGGTGATAGCAGAGGTGTGGAGGAGGAGTGAGGTGAGGGCACCGAATTACGTTGCAAAAAGAGAAAAAAGTCTTTAAATTTTTTTTTTCCAAACTTGTGTTGCCCCCAGATACCAACAGTGGCGCTGCCATGTCCTCATTAGATCGAGATTAAGGGGATTGATTTCAAAGCATATGTGAAACAGAAATAAACATATCTGGAAAACAATAGTGCACGTGGACAATTTCTTCCTTTTTGCTTCTAGCTAGGTGAAAGACGGGATCTTTTCCAAGCTCCTAGTGCGTCACTGGTCCTCTGGCTTGTGTGAGGATACCATTTCCCATAGGAGCTCTTTGCCTTGGAGTTGACTTTATCAACTCCAGTTTTTGAAAGAGCTTTGGGCAGAGGAAGGCGGCTGAAATGTTCATTATTTGCTAATGCAACATAGATAAATTTCTGAAAAGCAATACTAGTTTCCTAGTGAACGTGGCCGCTTAACACGCTGCATATGTTTCCAACCGTTGAAGTTGTTTCTAAATCTCCCCTGGATATAGTAACTTCAGTTTGTAAAGGTGGAATAACCATAATTTGTGGTCATGCAAATGTAACTTGTGGTTTGTCGAATTGACCTTTCCTTTTACACCTGATTTTCTTAGCATCCTGGAAGAGAAAAAAAAAGACCCAAAAAACTGTATTGTGATTTAGTAACCTGATATTTTCATGGAGGATTATTTTAACAAAATGATCCTGGTTAAAATTCACAACTTGGAAGAAATGTAGGATTGATTTTGTCACCATTTCATATCTTATGAGGTCACGTAAAGATTTCTATATGACTGGTCTGAAACTAATTTTTTTTTTACAGATTATTTAAAAGGTTGTACTCTCTTGCAAGTTCTGTTTCAGTTAAGATACTCTATGATGTGACAAATATAATTATTCTTTGTTTTGAGTGAAAGTTTACAAATCATACTAGTTTTTCATACATGTTTTGTTTTATAACATTAGTTAAAATTGGCTTAAGAATTACAGTGTCAGAACAACCCTTTATTGTGTATTGCCTTTCCCTCCATCCTGCTTACCTGTTTATTTTCACTACTCTCCACCTCTGTTATCTAAGACAGATGTATATAAACCTTTCCCTCTGTAGATTTTTAGAAGGGTGCTTTTATATAACTTACCATTTGTTACTGACATAACCCTAAACATAAGTTTCTCTGGATTCATTCATGCAGTGCTTCATGAATTCTTTATGGTTTTTAGTATTGCATAATACCCCATTTTGTGAATGGACCAGTGTTTCTTTAGCCATTAGTCCATTGATCGACACTTTTCCCTCTAACTTTTCGCTATTACAAATAATGCTCCAATAAACATTTATTGTTATTAGGTGTTATTGAGTGAACTTTGACTCATAATGACCTTATGAACAACAGAAGTAAACCTAGCGCTATCCTGCTGGAGTCCATTGTTACAGTCATATTGTTGTTCTTTCCTTTCAAATTGGAACTGACTCTGTAGCAGGTTTTTAGAGCAGCTAGTGACCTTCCAGATGCCATCCAGTGTATTTTCAGAGCAGCTAGGGGATTCAGACATGTCCCTTTGAGGTGGCTCCAGTCATAAGTGTTTGTGTATCAGTTTACATCACAGCGTTTACTTCTTGGGGATATATATATACCTAGCGGTGGGATTGCTGGATTGAAGGGTATTTTTCTGTTCCTGGTTTTCTAAGGAAGTGCGAATAGTTTTCACTAGTGGTTGCACCATTTTACATTCCTACTTGCAGTGTATGAGAGTTCAAGTTCCATAACCTTGCCATCATTTGGTGTTGGCTGTCTTAGTTTTACTGTTGTTGCTTGAGTGAGATGATATATTGCTGTTTTGATTTGTATCAGGAGACATATTTGGGGAAATCTGCTATCAAGGATTTCTCCAAATTACTGAAGAACAGTGATGTCAGTTTGAAGGCTAAGGTGCACCTGTTTTAGACCATGATCTTTTCACTAATTTATTAGCATTTGAGAGCTGGACAGTAAACAAGGATGACAGAATAATTAATGCTTTTGAGTTGTGGTGTTGAAGAGTACTGAATATTCTATGGACTGCCAAAAGAACAAACAGATAATATCTTGGGGAGGTGTGCAGCCAGAGTGCTCCCTTGGAGGCAAGGATGGCAAAGTGTCCTCTTTTTTTAATGTTCTGTGCCCATTTTGTGTTTGGGTTGCTTCTATATTTTAGTGATGAGTTCCTTGTCAGATGTACCATTGTATGTATTTTTTCCCCAGTGTGTAGTCTTTTTACTCTTTTGATGGACTTAAAGATTCAATTTTTAGGCAGTTCCAGTGGTTTGGTTTATCTTCTGCTAATTGTGCATTTTCATTTGTATTTGGTAATATATTTAGGCCAGATTAGGGCTCCTACATTTGCTCCAGTTATTTGTTTTATGATCTTTATAGTTAGGCTTTACCCCTTGGCCCTGGATCCTTCTTGAGTGAATTTTTGTATATGGTGTGAGGTAGGGAACTTCTTTCAATTTTCTGTAAATAGTTTTGCCAGCAGCATTTGCTAAAGAAGCTGTATTTTCCAAATCTTATAATTATTTATAAATGTTCTAAATTGATATCTCCAAAATTGACAAATAGTGTTACTTTAAAATATTTTAAATGTATAAAATGAAGAACCTGGTAGCTTTACCTAGTCCAGCTAATTCCATAATGTTTCTTATTTTGCTTCTGACAGTTTGATTGTTTTCAGCATTGTCATTCTATTTCATGGCTCAGTTCATGTAGCTGGTGCTTTTGTTCAGCTAAGACATTGTCTTCCTAGTTCAGAGTGCTCTTTTGTAACATTTAATGCTGCTATGACACTTTCCTCTTCTAAAGACATTCTAAGTTGCTGTAGTAATTCTAAACTCAAAAGTAGTCTGTATACTTTGTTCCTAGGTTTCCCCACCCCCCATTTATAAGTGGATGCAATCAGAGGGAAATGATTTTTCAAGTTCAAAAAATTCTGCAGGGATATTTCCCCTAATGACTTTCCTCTCTTTGATTGTCACAGCACTTTATATGGCTCTTTCTCCACCCACATGTGACCATTTCCCCTTTCTCTTCTCAAAGTAAAACTCTATCACAGAGAGAAAGGTCTATGTGTATTTTTTGTTTTCTCTTTCTACTTTGAGCTCCTTTCTGTGTTGATGTGATCCTTAAAGTAACATTTCTAATCATCTCTACTTAAAAAGTTTCTACCTTGCAATCGTGTGCCTTTTCTAATCTTTTCTTTTCAGTATATGAAAATAATCTTATTTTCAAAATAAATGTTATGTTAGGTAACTATCCTAATTTCTTCTTCATTAAACCGTCTTTGGTTTTCATTCCTTTTCCCCTTTGATATTTCCTCCCTTTCACTTTTATGTTAGAAACACTTTTACAAAAGCCCTCTTCATTTAAGCCATGTCATAAAAACAATTTCTGAGTATAATCTCCATGGGAAAGATATGGCTTACCTAAAAGCTCTGGTGGTGAAGTAGTAAAACATTTCACTTTTAACTGAAATTCCTGCAGTTCAAGCTCAGACTCCGAAGCAGGATAAAATAAAAGACTTTTGAATTTGCTCCAGTAAGGATTACAACCTAGGAAGCCTGTGGACAGTTCTACTTTGTCCATCAGAGTCAATCTGATGGTACATGAAAATAGCAGCAAAGCTTACTTAATTTTGTTGTCTGTTGTAAAATTACTTGCTAGGTTTAAGTCATTCTGTTTGGTTGTTTTTGGTTTTTTTTTAGTTTTGTTTTGTTTTTTTGGACAGCTGCTTTAATCCAGGGGCTGTGCTAAGGTCAGCAAATAGTTTTATGAAATTTGAATGGGTTTATTTGTGCACTAGCACACTTGGGTAACTAGAATACCCAAAAGATTTTTTTTCCTTTTTTTAAAATTAATTTTTATGAAAGTTTACAGAGACTTGTGCTCGCTTCGGTAGCACATATACTAAAATTGGAAAGTTTACAGAGACTTAGGGTTTCCAGTCATTCATAGTTACACCTTTCTCCCTGCCCACCCCCTCCCCCCGAATTCACTTTTCTCCCTGTTGAGTAAAAGAAAAACTCTTTTGTTGCTTTGCAGTTCCTCCCCCCAAGTCCACTGCACTGTGCAGCCTTCATTTATAATAACAAAAAAGAAAAATATTTTTAATTGCATAATTTTTTTCTGAAAATACACTTTTTTAAAAACAGAACATATGACTTTATTACTTAGGGAAGCACCATTTTTTTTTTTTAAATTCAGTTTTGTGACTTTGTGTTTGTGCCTTCAGTACTTTCCCAACACTTCTCTGCTCCTCAATAAGGAATGCATGCATGATCCTGTCACAGACACGCTTAGCACATGTGTAGCCATGGTACACTCTGCCGGCACGTTTTGTTTCTTTTGTTATTGTTGTTTTGACAATCTCATGAGTACTTTAGGTCTTACAGCATGTACCCCTCTTAGTTGACCTGGGCACACACCACATACAGATTTTGGTGCTTTCCCAACCTTCTTGATAAA